GAGTTTGTGACCTGGCTTTCACGCTTTTGCAATCATCAGACAAAATCCGATGATCGTAAAAGCGTGAAACACAGGGTCACAAACTCATATCCATACAACTGAATATTTTAGCACTATCAATGATATTGAGAACTTTCCAATAATTACTGCGCATATAAAATAATAATAAATATAGAATATTGAATTTATATAGAATAATGTGTTTATGCATATATAAGCAGTGACAGACTTAGTTAAATAGATAATATCAGCCTACGCTGCTATGAATGCATTACACTTCAAGTACAAATTGAGCTCTCTTAGCCCCTGGCCTATTTCGTACAGAAAACGATACAATTTCCCTTTTTGCCCCAAAGCCGATGTTTTAGGAGTAGTATCTCTGACTGATGCCAAATCGGTCGGGTTTCGATCCCGACTTGAATCAATCGGACGTCTAGCCACACTGAAGAGCTGTGATACAGCGAAACAGTTTGCGGAAGACAATCTCTCTCCCCTCCCCTCTGGATATGAAGTCAAAACGCAGAAGCAACAGACTGTTTCATGCTTAGTCGCAATCATGGCCTGACGATTGCATTTATCATGAAACATACTGCCATCTCTGGGTATTGACTTCAATTTCTGCTGCTATACTTACATACGCTTTATTACTGACATTGTCCACTTTAACACATAAAAAATAGCATTGCTGTTAAAGTGGTCAATATATATATATATATATATATATATATATATATATATATATATATATATATATATATATATATATAGATAGATAGATAGATAGATAGATAGATAGATAGATAGATAGATAGAAGGAAATAGACGTGTTGCTATCTAGCTAGCCAGATAGCTGTCTGTCAGATTCACTAGATAGATAGATAGATAGATAGATAGATAGATAGATAGATAGATAGATAGATAGATGCAAACCTAGACAGAGAGTCAGACAGAAAGATTGGTAGATAGTTTGAAAAATAGCATTATTTGATTTGAAGAGTTATGAAGAATATAATATTGCTAAGTTTTCATTTCAAGTATTTCGACATAAGCTGATTAAAACTACTATCGAGTTGGATTTGTCAGGAATGTTTCGATGTGTAACCCATTTGACTGAGGTACGAAATTATTTGTCGATGGTTGATGAATAGTTTCTTGTCTGTGGTTGATGAATAGTTCCTTGTCGATGGTTGATGAATAGTTCCTTGTCTGTGGTTGATGAATAGTTCTTGTCTGTGGTCGATGAATAGTTCCTTGTGGTTGACGATGGTTGTCGATGGCTGAAATAGTCCCTTGTCGATGGTTGATGAATAGTTCCTTGTCGATGGTCGATGAATAGTTCCTTGTCGATGATTGATTAATAGTTTCTTGTCGATGATTGATGAATAGTTCCTTGTCGATGGTTGATGAATAGTTCCTTGTCTGTGGTTGATGAATAGTTCCTTGTCGATGGTTGATGAATAGTCCCTTGTCGATGGTTGATGAATAGTTCCTTGTCTGTGGTCGATGAATAGTTCCTTGTCGATGATTGATTAATAGTTTCTTGTCGATGATTGATGAATAGTTCCTTGTCGATGGTTGATGAATAGTTCCTGGTCTGTGGTTGATGAATAGTTCCTTGTCGATGGTTGATTAATAGTTTCTTGTCGATGATTGATGAATAGTTCCTTGTCTGTGGTTGATGAATAGTTCCTTGTCGATGGTTGATGAATAGTTCCTTGTCGATGATTGATGAATAGTTCCTTGTCTGTGGTTGATGAATAGTTCCTTGTCTGTGATTGATGAATAGTTCCTTGTCTGTGGTTGATGAATAGTTCCTTGTCGATGGTTGATGAATAGTCCCTTGTCGATGATTGATTAATAGTTTCTTGTCGATAGTTGATGAATAGTTCCTTGTCTGTGGTTGATGAATAGTCCCTTGTCGATGATTGATTAATAGTTTCTTGTCGATGAATAATAGTTCCTTGTCGATAGTTGATGAATAGTTCCTTGTCTGTGGTTGATGAATAGTTCCTTGTCGATGATTGATGAATAGTTCCTTGTCGATAGTTGATGAATAGTTCCTTGTCTGTGGTTGATGAATAGTTCCTTGTCGATGATTGATTAATAGTTTCTTGTCGATGATTGATGAATAGTTCCTTGTCGATGGTTGATGAATAGTTCCTTGTCTGTGGTTGATGAATAGTTCCTTGTCGATGGTTGATGAATAGTCCCTTGTCGATGGTTGATGAATAGTTCCTTGTCGATGATTGATTAATAGTTTCTTGTCGATAGTTGATGAATAGTTCCTTGTCTATGGTTGATGAATAGTTCCTTGTCTGTGGTTGATTAATAGTTTCTTGTCGATGGTTGATGAATAGTCCCTTGTCTGTGGTTGATGAATAGTGCCTTGTCCATTTTTGATGAATAGTTTCTTGTCCATGGTTGATGAATAGTTCCTTGTCTGTGGTTGATGAATAGTCCCTTGTCTGTGGTTGATGAATAGTTTCTTCTCGATGGTTGATGAATAGTTATTGTCCATGGTTGATGAATCGTTCCTTGTCGATGGTTGATGAATAGTTCCTTGTCTCTGGTTGATGAATAGTCCCTTGTCTCTGGTTGATGAATAGTCCCTTGTCGATGGTTGATGAATAGTCCCTTGTCCGATCACTGACGATAGAAAAACATCAGAACTGAAAGTGATCAGTCCATTAAGCACACTTTGCCCATTGATTATAAAAATGCGGCCTTTATCGGAATCAATCAGATTTTTTTTCTTTTTACTTCTGACCTATTCCACATATCAAAATAAAGTACTAGAGGCCGGTTCGTATGCGTTTCTTTTTCTTTTTGAATAAGTCATATATAATCATTATATGCCAATGGCGGTCATTTTTGTCACATATCGCTAGACATAATGATTTCTCAAGTCGTAAGCTTAACTAAAAGTTGCCTTTGACTCTAACGCAAAACCGGCATTCATTGTCCAATTTGAATCATTTCCCATAACAACAATGTAATGTAAGCTCCTGAGGCAATAAATTTAATGAATGAACGTGTAATCTTTTTAGATTTCGCGCATTTTCGCATCAGATGGTTAACATTTGCACTAAAAACAATAGAAAACAATAACGATTAGCAACAGTCGGGATTCCATGCAAATTTTATGGACATGGTAAGGCAATTATATTTACAATCGACCAGAAAGAAAAAGTAATAAATAAAAAAAAGAATATTTCCATGATAGATACAGAGAGAAACAAAACAACGAATTGATTTGGAAACACACACATGTACAGTCAAATACCGGAAATATATCTTTTGTTCATATACACTCGTATATATTCATCCGTTAAAGATTGAAATCCCCCAAGGCTACTTTTATCTGACATATTGATACATTACTTCTCTGTTCCTTCATTAAAGATCGACTTTGTTACAACAAATAAGGATCTATTTCCTTACAGAAAACTTCTATAACATGTCTTGTTCCTTCAGTACGCGGTCTATCAAGGCTCTCCATATTTTTCTTTTGTCTTTCATAGCTTTTAGTAAATTTAGTTTTTCCAGAATCTCTCCGAATCCCTGTTCTGCAAACCATTTACACAAAATCGTTATGTTGGTTATTCGTTGTTTTCCTCTGCAACGCTTGTTTTTAATATGCCCTGCGAGTGTCAATTTTTCAAGCCAACTTTCCTCATTATCTGACCTAGAAATTTCAATTGAAACTTTCTTATGTTACGTGTCCGCTTTGTTTTAAGTTTTTCTAAGACTTCTTCGTTGCTCCCATGCTTAGTGTATGCGACAATAAGCCGGAGAGTGAGATTTAATGAGTTCCATGAGACATTGTACGGTAGTGTTTGTTTTCAGTGTCAATTCTCAGACAGTAATCTGGCATTTTATCAACCCATGCAATACTTCTTCCTCAATAAACGCCATTCATAGTACTTCAAGTTCTGACGATGATTTGTTTTTCTTTTTGTTTTTTGTTTAGCGACATATCAACAACTATGTGTTATTTATTAATCTAAATATTTTGAACCCAATTTTATACCTTCCACCACAGAGTAAAAGTATTTTGGGTAATTTTACTATAAATACGAATTGGTGGTAATCTTTTTTATAAAAAATATATTGATGGTATTTTTACTATAAAATGCATTTTATACATTCAGAGAGGTTTTTTTTTCGTTAGCGAATACTCGTTGTCACTTTCGTAATGCTCGCTGTAGTAGAGACTTTGTAGTCGCAGATTACAACTATAGTAACGCCGTTGAACAATACTGGTGTCAGACGCCTTTGAATAACACTCGTCTTAATAGTACTTGCTTGATAATACTCGCTCGAATAGTAACCACTGAATAGTGATCAATATAAAGAAATAGTATAGATAATAGAGTAGTGAATAGAGTAGAGAATAGCGCTCCTTATAGTAATAGAGGGTAGAATAGAAATAGCGATCATATAGACGTCACGCAACATCCTACTATCCTCTATAGTCACGTGGTCAACTTAATTCAATAATGGGATCGCCACTGTTTGCTCGCTGGTGATCTATGTTCAAACTCAAATATCGGCAGCGACTTTTTATTTCTATATAACAGGTGGGGGTTCACTTTTTGCTTATAGCTGAGTTCCTAACAGGTGCTACTACACACGGTCGAGGTGAAACTGGAAACAACCTCAATTAAGTGTTAGCAATGATAACAATATGACGATGCTAGGCATTAGATTTTTCCTTTGATTGATTGATTTGTTATTTACGGTTTAACATTATGCAGGTTATTTATTTTCAGATTGTAGAAATAATTCATTATTTTGGCGGGTGAATATTGTACTAGCAATTTCTTGTAGATAATAATGATTTTCAGATACAAATTTTAACTGAGGCAGAAGAGGTGGATACATATCTTTTTCCATAGGTTTATCGGCATAAGTGAATGCAATGAACCCGACTGGAATTCGAACAGCTTTCCGAGGTCGCATTCCTAGCTGTCACCCATTAAACCACTGGAATTTTCAAGTTTGCAACAACCGGTATTCCCAAACGGTCATCCATCGAGGTACTGACTAGGCTCGACGTTGCTTAACTTCGGTGATCGGACAAGAACCGGTGTTTCAATGTGATATGGCCGTAATCCATGATTAAATTTCATTGGACAAAATAATGACGGACAATTGCTTGTTTATATAATTTACAGGCGGACGATTATCCTGATCTTTGTTTTCATTACGAGAAACATTCGGCAGTCGTGTCTCTGGCCCTCTTCATGTGATTGACGGTGCGAGTAACCTTCAGAGAATTGTGTAATGACACTTTACTTACTATACAGGGCAAAATCTTTTTGTTTCCCTATCTGGCGATATTTCGTAATCTTATAATTTACTACTGCTCAGTTATTGAGCGTTGAAGTTCAAGTCGACACTGACCAGCCCGATATTCCGTAACCATTAAGCACTCTTTTCACTGTTCCTAACTAGATTTACATATTTATTAATACTTTGCTTAGATTTTGGAAGGCATCTTTCTCTATCCTAGTGAGACTTCGGATTTCGGTGTCACATTTTCTAGATATTTAAGATTTTCTATTTTGATTTTGACATCTCCGATTTATAATTCGCATGTTGAGATCATGCCTTGTCTCCTCTATGTGGTAGAGTGGTATTCACAGTGGAGGCTTGTATTTCACTAAGTCGGTCCTAAAAAGGTTCGACGTACAAAACGTCAGGAACATGAAATAGTAGTTAATGACGCAGCAATCTAGTTGTGGTGGTTGATACTTTAATGTCCGACATCGACTGACTCACCAACTCACTCTGAGCCGCAACTGGCGACCGCTACTACTACTACTTATTATCTGTGGGAGAGTCTATTAACAATAAAATAGGTATGTTCCGGTATAACACTCTTACAATTGTTGTATGTCCTTTCTTCTCGGTTACCTTTACGACCTTCTGTAGGAGATCCTGTTTTTTTTTTCTTTCCTGCGTCTGTTATCTAGACAATGCGCATATTTAATGTTGTTACGATTGTGGCCACCATTAATATATTCTGGTAATATTTTCATAGCAGCTGCTGCCAGGAGTGTTTTTTCCCTGTTGCCCGGCTACAAGAATTTAAGCTTGCTACTAGATTTGCATCTACGTTCCACCGATTTACTGTTGAAATAGTTAAATGTAACCGCCATTTCTACTGCTGCAGTTTCTTTTCTCTCGTCCGTTTACTTGCTCCCCTGAAAACTACAATCTTCAGAAATTTAAATGCAACATCAATCGCCATCTCCTATCTTGAATTCCGTTCATCTTTTATGATTTTCTCAACATCCACATCCTTGGTAAGACGATAAACTACGTCCAGCAGCAAGGCCTCTGATCAGGAGGTTTTGAGGAGCGTGGAACCAGCTATTAATTGCTGGTGTTCCGAGGTCCACGCTGACCCGGGGTGGTAGCACCTGTTAGGGTCCCAGCTATGGGCAAATAGTTAATATTACCAGCAATTTTTTTTTGGAAAAATTATTACCAGCAATACAATTTTGAAGGAAAAATATTAACAGAAACAGATTTTTGGCAAAACAAAATATAACCAGCAATAAAGAATTTTGTCAGCATCAAGTACCCCATTGGGTGTGCTGTGGAACAAAACAACCCAAACCAATCTAAACCAAAGAATACATATTCTGTTCATACGAACCTATCCTAAAAATGTTGTCGTCATTAAATAACCCATTGAGGTTGATATGCGGTAAAACAAAATAAACTAAACCAATCTAAACCAAAGAATACATATTCTGTTTATACGAACATATCCTAAAAATGTTGTCGTCATTAAATAACCCATTGAGGTTGATATGCGGTAAAACAAAATAAACTAAAACAATCTAAACCAAAGAATACATATTCTGTTCATACGAACCTATCCTAAAAATGTTGTCGGCATTAAATAACCCATTGAGGTTGATATGCGGTAAAACAAAATAAACCAAACCAATCTAAACCAAAGAATACATATTCTGTTCATACGAACCTATCCTAAAAATGTTGTCGTCATTAAATAACCCATTGAGGTTGATATGCGGTAAAACAAAATAAACCAAAACCAATCTAAAACCTAAAGAATACATATTCTGTTCAAACCAATCTAAAAACAACGAACCTATCCTAAAAATGTTGTCGGCATTAAATAACCCATTGAGGTTGATATGCGGTAAAACAAAATAAACCAAACCAATCTAAACCAAAGAATACATATTCTGTTCATACGAACCTATCCTAAAAAATGTTGTCGGCATTAAATAACCCATTGAGGTTGATATGCGGTAAAACAAAATAAACCAAACCAATCTAAACCAAAAATGAATACATATTCTGTTCATACGAACCTATCCTAAAAATGTTGTTCATATTAAATAACCCATTGAGGTTGATATGCGGTAAAACAAAATAAACCAAACCAATCTAAACCAAAGAATACATATTCTGTTCATACGAACCTATCCTAAAAATGTTGTCGGCATTAAATAACCCATTGAGGTTGATATGCGGTAAAACAAAATAAACCAAACCAATCTAAACCAAAGAATACATATTCTGTTCATACGAACCTATCCTAAAAATGTTGTCGGCATTAAATAACCCATTGAGGTTGATATGCGGTAAAACAAAATAAACCAAACCAATCTAAACCAAAGAATACATATTCTGTTCATACGAACCTATCCTAAAAATGTTGTCGGCATTAAATAACCCATTGAGGTTGATATGCGGTAAAACAAAATAAACCAAACCAATCTAAACCAAAGAATACATATTCTGTTCATACGAACCTATCCTAAAAATGTTGTCGGCATTAAATAACCCATTGAGGTTGATATGCGGTAAAACAAAATAAACCAAACCAATCTAAACCAAAGAATACATATTCTGTTCATACGAACCTATCCTAAAAATGTTGTCGGCATTAAATAACCCATTGAGGTTGATATGCGGTAAAACAAAATAAACCAAACCAATCTAAACCAAAGAATACATATTCTGTTCATACGAACCTATCCTAAAAATGTTGTCGGCATTAAATAACCCATTGAGGTTGATATGCGGTAAAACAAAATAAACCAAACCAATCTAAACCAAAGAATACATATTCTGTTCATACGAACCTATCCTAAAAATGTTGCGGCATTAAATAACCCATTGAGGTTGATATGCGGTAAAAAAAAATAAACCAGACGAATCTAAACCAAAGAATACATATTCTGTTCATACGAACCTATCCTAAAAATGTTGTCGTCATTAAATAACCCATTGAGGTTGATATGCGTAAAAACAACATAAACCAAACCAATCTAAACCAAAGAATACATATTCTGTTCATACGAACCTATCCTAAAAAATGTTGTCGGCATTAAATAACCCATTGAGGTTGATATGCGGTAAAACAAAATAAACCAAACCAATCTAAACCAAAGAATACATATTCTGTTCATACGAACCTATCCTAAAAATGTTGTCGGCATTAAATAACCCATTGAGGTTGATATGCGGTAAAACAAAATAAACCAAACCAATCTAAACCAAAGAATACATATTCTGTTCATACGAACCTATCCTAAAAATGTTGTCGGCATTAAATAACCCATTGAGGTTGATATGCGGTAAAACAAAATAAACCAAACCAATCTAAACCAAAGAATACATATTCTGTTCATACGAACCTATCCTAAAAATGTTGTCGGCATTAAATAACCCATTGAGGTTGATATGCGGTAAAACAAAATAAACCAAACCAATCTAAACCAAAGAATACATATTCTGTTCATACGAACCTATCCTAAAAATGTTGTCGGCCCATTAAATAACCCATTGAGGTTGATTATGCGGTAAAAACAAAATAAACCAAACCAATCTAAACCAAAGAATACATATTCTGTTCATACGAACCTATCCTAAAAATGTTGTTAAATAACCCATTGGCATTAAATAAACCCATTGAGGTTGATATGCGAGGTTGAAAAAAACAAATAAACCAAACCAATCTAAACCAAAGAATACATATTCTGTTCATACGAACCTATCCTAAAAAATGTTGTCGGCATTAAATAACCCATTGAGGTTGATATGCCTAAAAATAAAAAAACAAAATAAACCAAACCAATCTAAACCAAAAGAATACATATTCTGTTCATACGAACCTATCCTAAAAATGTTGTCGGCATTAAATAACCCATTGAGGTTGATATGCGGTAAAACAAAATAAACCAAACCAATCTAAACCAAAGAATTACATATTCTAAAACAAAATTCATAAACCAAAGAATACATATTCTGTTGGCCTATCCTAAAATGTTGTCGGCATTAAATAACCCATTGAGGTTGATATGCGGTAAAACAAAATAAACCAAACCAATCTAAACCAAAGAATATTCTGTTCATACGATTCTGTTCATTAAATAACCCATTGAACCAAAATAAACCAAACCAATAAAAAAGTTGTTCATTCGAACATTAAAAAACCCATTGAGTCGGTTGATATGCGGTAAAACAAAATAAACCAAACCAATCTAAACCAAAGAATACATATTCTGTTCATACGAACCTATCCTAAAAAATGTTGTCGTCATTAAACCAAAGAATAACCCTATCCTAAAAATTGAGGACATTAAATTTGATATGCGGTAAAACAAAATAAACCAAACCAATCTAAACCAAAGAATACATATTCTGTTCATACGAACCTATCCTAAAAATGTTGTCGGCATTAAATAACCCATTGAGGTTGATATGCGGTCCCTTTTTTCTTCCTCCGATAAACCAAAACCAATCTAAACTAAACCAAAGAATACATATTCTGTTCATACGAACCTAAATCCTAAAAATGTTGTCGGCATTAAATAACCCCATTGAGGTTGATATGCGGTAAAACAAAATAAACCAAACCAATCTAAACCAAAGAATACATATTCTGTTCATACGAACCTATCCTAAAAAATGTTGTCGGATTAAATAACCCATTGAACGGTAAAACAAAATAAACCAAACCAATCTAAACCAAAAATAATGTATTCTGTTCATACGAACCTATCCTAAAAATGTTGTCGGCATTAAATAACCCATTGAGGTTGATATGCGGTAAAACAAAAT